TTTAGGTGCCTTAAGTTGAAATCCCCCAGGAGCAAGATGTTGGGTGCAGGAGCTGGAAGATTTTCCAGACAGTGGTCAATTTTTAACAGCTGTTCCTGGAATTGCTGGGATGTTGCATCCGGAGGCTTGTAGACTACCACAATGACTAGGTTTTGGTTCTCGACCTTTTACTGCTAAAACTTCCACTACATCATTTGAGGCATTAAGCAGTTCTGTGCAAACAAGTGACTCTGCAATGTATAGGCCAACCCCCCCCTCCCCCTTTTGCCTATTCACTCTGTCACATCTGTATAGGTTGTAACCTGGGATCCATATTTCGTTGTCCAAGTGATCCTTTATGTGGGTCTCAGTGAAAGCCGCGAACATTGCCTTTGCCTCTGCAAGCAGTCCACGGATGAAAGGTATTTTGTTGTTTGTTGCTGGCTTTAGACCCTGTATATTTGCAAAGAAGAATGTTATCGGACTGGTGGTATTGTTGGTACTGGGGGGGGGGGGATTTTTTTTCCGGCATTAGTATCTGTGTTACAAAAAATGCAATTCTAAAAGCTTAGAGATCTCCAGTGAATACTAGAAAGGACTGCTCTTCTAGCATCCAGCCTGTTACTGGGTTTTCGTAACAAGTAGTCAGTATCCTTGTCCAATTATCCATTATAAATCAGTATTATTCAATAGTGCTTCAGGATAACAACTGGTAGGCTACTAACTAGAGAAATTAAAAATTTAATATATTTATTAAGTCTAGAGGTATATTATCAAAGTAAATTAAATCACAGCAATCAAAATAAAATCAATCTCTCGAGTTCAATATTATTGTGCTGAAAGCACATATCACATTTATAATTCTTAAGTACCGTCAGGTACATTAACATTTAATAAGATATTACAAATATGTACAAGTAAGTGTGTGTATGCGTGTAAGTGCTCTTAAGTAGTTAGCTATGTCTCAAGACTCGAGTAAGACTTAAACAAGTGACTGACAAAGTCCTCAAATAAACTAACTTCTTGACCGACTGGCAACCCGAACAGTCTTCTTGAACAACAAAGAATGCTAAGCCCAATAGCAATGCAATATCAAGCGACTGCGACACAGAATCAGGAACTGGGAAATAATATAACGACACTAAGTAGGGACCATCAGCAGATCCTCCACAAAAGTTACAAAACTCCCATACTACTGAATCTATGTTCAGCATAGGAAAAACGCGACTGTGACAATACACAGAAACCAGTACAAAATTAGGTCAGAAGCTATAACTAAGGACCTGAGATGTTCAGAGTGTCTATGTGACACACAACCTCAGTACGTCGAAAATCACAAAGTCTATACAATGTTTTGTGAACAAAGTTCTACAGAACTAACAAGAATAATGAGACAGACAATCTATCCAACCACCAAGCGAGTCTAGAGCAGACTGACTACTTCACGAGAGGTGAGGACACCCCCCCCCCTCGATCACGTGATAGCTACGTGGACAACTGCAGCTCAGAAGCCGGCAGTATAACGAGCGACAAGCGATAATTACAGTAGTTTGACAATCAAGACTAACTGAGCACATTTTATATACATCCTAACAACATAAGCTACGTCAAATAACAATATAAGGCAATACATTTGCGATTTAGCTATTATCGCAAATATAAGCAATATAAAATTAAATGAAAAGGTAATATACATTACATATATACATAATAATCATTGTAACCCATTCAGGGGTTGCAACAATCTGTATCTGTTGGTTTGGTGGAGGCCATCGACTGTGGTTCCACTCCAGGAATGACTGGATTTGGGTGTACGATTTCTGCCATTTCCTGCCAGTTTTTTTCCTTCCTGGCACTAAAAAACCTCTTCCCCCCTTTTGGTGGCTGTGGCTACCCGGGGTTTTCCCCATGGCCGGATGTTTTGATCTTTTGTCCCTTTAGAGGGTATCCTGGAAATTTTAAAGTTTATAGCACAGTTTTCCTGTATGAAGAGGTACACGTTCAGGGTGAAAAAACTTACGGGAAAAGGGAGTTTGCTTTTTCCTGTTGTTTGTGCAGGGGCATTTTTAGGGGGTGGTCATATTTGCACCCCCCATCTTTTTTTCCAGATTTCCCATCCCAGCGATACCAAGTGCATAGTTATGCACAGGCTGGTTTCCGTTTGCCTTGGGTTTCGGGGCTTATTCCCGTTGGTGCTGTTTTCCCTGTTTACTTCTATCCCCCCCTAGCACCAAAAAGGGCTCCCCCCATTGTTTTTGGTAATAATCCTCACTTTTGCTATTGGAGTCCTTTTGTTTCTATTTCCTGGGGTATTTCTATTTGCAATTGGTTTTTATTTATCTTTGACTCACTTGTTTCTCTCTATGGCCCTGTCCCATGAGGTCATTTTAAATGTATTCTTCCGGGTTTAAAATTCCCGAATACCTGGACAAAATTCCAGCTTCACCTTTACTGTCCCCAGGACAGCATCTCCAGCTTCCCCATTTCTGTCTCCCGGACGCACCTCCAGTTCCCCTTACTGTCTCCCAGGACAGCCCCCCACTTCCCCATTCGTCTCCCAGGACAGCACTATCACCCCCACTTTTACTGACTACCAGGCTCCCTCCAGTTTACTTTTGTGACTACATGGCCAGTTCAGGGCATACCCTTCAGCCCAAACTTTTTTTGTTCCACTTTGTGAAAGTTCCAGGGTTTTTATGAAAGCACTTTGATTTGTCCTCTTTTTAAAACCCTTGGAGGGTTTTGGTCGGTACTAGTACGTTTCGTAGGGGTTTTTTTCGTACTAGACTCAAAAAATTCAGCGGCCTCAATTTGTGGAGAAACGGGAGGCCTTCATATGAAAGAATGGGGCTTTGGCGGGCACAGTCAAAAAAAATCCTGCAGCACACGTGCTAATGAAAAAAAAAAACTTTTACCTTTTTTTTTTTAAAAACAGCGACTTTGCATGGGATTTTTGTATGGTATTTTTTTGTTTGTATTCTAGTTTTCTTGGGCCTTTTTTTAGAAAGGAAAACTATTACAAAATTGGAGATTTTACGGTTTTTTCAATGAAAAGGGGCCTTGAAATTTACTCCCAAATAGCACAAATTCGATTTTACCAAACTTCAAAAGTAAACAAATCGTGCCCGCGTGCAATACACGTCAATGGTGAGTCTAAAATTTTTTCACAATGCACCATAATATTTTACTTTTTTTACATAAGCGTAGTCTGCATAACAGTAAATCTTTTTATTTTTTTGAAAAAAAAAAATTCAAATGGAAGCA